GCAGAAGAAAAAGATGGGATTCTAGAAAAAAAAAAGATGGATACATAACTAACCGGGATCGAAGACTAACCAACCGGGAAAGAACATCAACGAAAATCCTTATATAGAACAAATATGAAAAATCATAATATAAAATCAAACATATGAATACAGTATATGAGAATATAGTACAGTAAGAATGAGAAAACTGGGAAATGACGTGCACATGTAAAACTCTTTTTGTTGAAAGATACGTGTGGATCCAGAATAGCTGGAGATGATGATGCGGAATTGATAACACAGGATGAAGCTGACTGAAACTAGCGATGCGCGGGGCCGAAACTGTTCACACACACACACAGCGTTTAGGTACATAGCGAAGAACGGGTGACGGACGGGTGAAGGCGGCTGGCCTTACTGAGCAGCATCGACGACCGAAGAGCAGCAGCACATGAAGGATGACTTAGACGCTGACCGCTGACGATTCAGCCGCTTCCTGAACACAGGTAACGTTCAGAGTATACTGAAATGCCATGAAACGGAGAGCATACGGACCTTTTTGAGCCTCTCGTTCAACTCGGAAGCTTCTGAATCTCCATGTCTTCGTCAACTTCCTGGTATTCCTCCTTCGCCCCAACAGATCCAACTGACGCCACGGATTGACGTGCCAGGGCTGATAGACGTTCAAACCCTTAGAAAATGGGGACGCTATTGTCCTTCTTGATGCCCATGGATCGGACCTTGATGTGAATCGATGAAGCATTTGAACGCCTATTGCGATGTTCAAATTACTACTCTGGTAAGACAGCCAGTAGTCAAAAAATGGTCGTCTTTCCTTCCTGAACGTAACCTAGCGGCTGATCAGTTCACAGCGAAACTCTGACAGGGTCAACAGTGGCGTTGGAGCGAGTTCAGATATGCGACCCTCCCCCCCATTATCTCTGATCAAATGGGGTGTATGTAAGCCGTAGGAGGTGGGGGGAGTGCCTATGACAGTGCCCTCAACTTTTCACTGAATTTCAAAAGATATTTTCCGCCTTCGCCTGTGGAAGATGGGATGAAAAAGTTTTCTTCCCATCTTCCACAGGCACGTCTCCGTTTCCTTAATACGACCCCCTTCCTCGAAAGCACAAGACACAAGCGGCTCCAAGTCTGGACTCGATGGGAAGGACTATTGTTCCTAATCCAACTTTCCGTGAATGGAGGCGCCTCAGAGTACCTTCACCCTGACCTGATGCATGTAAAGCTCAACTGCTGCCATCAACAAGACCTATGGGCTCGGCCTTACCCGGTCTAATCGCTATCTTAAAACCCTGATTTGAGGGCACACCATCACCAAATTAGCAGATTGTTAAACCTATCCTCACACAAGGCTCCCTACCTTATTGATGCTCTGGTGAAAGGCACTTCACTTTTCTAATCGGTTTGTCAAGGGATAGCAATTTATGCAAAGAAAATAGCCAACCTGGAGCCAATTGAGAACGATCTGGTTGCTCTGTGAAACAGAAGACGGTGGAGGTTGCGGTGGATTCGAGAGCGCCAGCAAGGATGTCGCATCTGCTAATGCCGATGGAGTCGGGCGAGGTCGATCTGAACATTGTTCTCCACTGGGGTATGTTCCGAATCATCAAAAGCGGCCTCACCCGCTGCTGGAGAAGCGTCGCAAGCTGCCGACTGACTGCTGTTCACCACACACTTCCTCATGTGCTTCTCCAGCGTTGAATGCACGGAAAACGGCATTTGGCAGATGTAACATCGGTAGGTCTCCTGTACAAATCACAAGCTCACAAAATTTCTTACAGTGAAAACTCAGGAGGCCATACCTTGCCCTGTTGGCCGTGCGTGCGCATGTGCCGCGTGAGTTTCGAGCTTTGCGCACACGCGTACGGACACAGCTTGCACTGGTACGGCTTCTCACCAGTGTGACTGCGCAGGTGTACGATCAGATTTGAGCGATTCGTGAACACCTGCAAAACTCATCAATAAATCACATTTGTGTGGGCGTAGCAAAGGAATTCTTCTGATATTGTCAAATAGCAAGCTAAAGCAGGGTCAATCGTTCGTCCGGTCGATTCAGAGAGTGGGGTCATATTAGCGACGTTTCAGCGAGGACCGTAATCATAGTACCAAGCGTCAAAGCGTAGACAAAGAAAGATAGGACAAAAACGATGATTATTACACACGAGCATAAGACTTAAATTGCACTATTGGTTGGTTGCCATTTTAGGCGTCAGAATATTTTGAGAAAACTTTCGCACAGGTGAAGTTTTGTTGCTGAAGGTTCGTCTAGAAAGGCGTGGAAGCAGGCGTCAACCATACGTTGCCATAAGTAAGCCAACGGGGTCGTAGTAGCACGAAAACATGTGATGAGGTTGAGATGACGCGCCGTTAGCGTGCGTGTATACCCCCCTAGAATATTGTTTAGCGATGGAAGTAGAGGTGAAATATATAGGGGAGTGGGGGAAAATGAAGGGAAATATAGGGAAATTTTACGGTTTTATGGTAGGTATATACCTCCCCGCTCGACGGTGACTTTTGAGGGAAAAAGTAGCTGTGAAGAGGGGGTCGTATGAAACTTCTCGCGAAGGAGGGGGGTCNTAAAAATTTTGCAAAAGATACCAACGATATTACCGACGCTGGTGAAGCAATGCTTGAAAATTACGAGAGATTAGAAACATTCTGGATCGTTTCATTTGTTTGACATACCTGAGTGCCGGAATTCCGGAAGTGATGAAGCGGTCGTGAGCTCGGGGGATCGGTGGAAAAAACCCTATAGGCTTTGTACTGCTTGAAATGTTTGCAAGGGTATTCTTGGAAATTTTTCCCACAACCTAAAGCGCGAGGGGACATAGCATGCAAAACCACTCCACCGCACTTACAGCCGAAAAGTGTTACCGTTGGGTAGCTCGATGGTTATCTCATCAGGAGCCCTAAGGCATAGTAACCGAACAGGAGAGGCACCGCATCCTGGTAAGGTATGCTCTCCCCGGAAGTTGTCGTGGAAAGGCCCGAAGGAATATCCCCGTGATTGAAATGTAATCGAAGAGCCATCCCGAGAATTAGCGAGCATACCCCTTCACCGAAAGCTTTCGGGGAGAAGGATACCTTACCAGGATAAGATCGCTTTTCCTGTTCAGGGAAGCATACCTTACGGCCCAGAACAAAGCCGGGGTCCTTCAATTCGAAGCACCTTAGAAGACAGCGGGAAAAGATTGGGTGATACAGAAGATATGCTAGAAGCTAGCAGGTTTATAAAATAAATTTAAAAAACAGCAAAAAATACGGCGATATCCACGGGAAGGTCTATCATTCGAGATAAATTCGACAGTGATGCTGAGGGGGTGGAGCAAAAACTAGTTCCAACAAAGTGAGCATTGAACCACGCTCACTTAGAGTTTTTGCAATTAATCTTTTCAAGTTTTACGATTTTTGAAAAGAACAAGTAGTTCCAGTGAATAAATCCTTCCGTTACAACATCTTTAACGAGATCTTAAGATATAACCAGAATTGACCCGACCTTGCTGCAAAAGGTACACCGCTCCTTCTTCACGTTCACTTGACGTCGAGCGGCCGGTTCAGCGAGTTCACCATCATCGACGACGATTAACTAAGAATAATCACGATAGGCAAACAGTCACATTTAAACTTTAAAAGATCAAACGAAATTGAATCCGCAGACAGGCAGAGCTTTCCACCTGTTCGCTCTCGTCTTCGGTGCGAGGATTCTTTTTAGGTGGAGCCGAATCCTCCGGAGATTGTCGTCTTCCGAACAGCTGATGCTGGCCGAGCCGGATTCGGTGTGAACGCAGACGGCTCATCACTGCAAACAGCTAGATGAGTTCCAAAGGCCACTGAAGAACGAGATTCAATGTGGCTTTCTGAATAATTTTAACATAAAAACAGTTATCATGGAAGCCGTTGGTGTTATGCGGAAGCTAAACTATAGGAAGTGCGAGCCGAGATTCCGCTCAAGCAGAGACCGATTTGTCGACTCAAGAAGAGATCTTTCTATCTTACTGTGAGTTTATAGGTACATAATCTGATGACCAGCACAGAAATTAAAATACTATAATATTTCCTTAACTAAGAAAAGCTCAAAAAGCACTGGTCTGTTCAGCGCTCAGCTCAGAATAAAAGAACACCGATGAAAAGGAGCACATAGTAGCTGCACCCGGAACCAACATAAGCTTGGCGTTAACTATACAAAGACTATAAAATAGCGTTTCTCTCCCTGCGCACAGTTACTAGGACCAATTCCTCCACCCATCCGAACTGAGTAACTGGGGCTTGATTAACCGACGAGGATCCAAGCATAAGAAAGGATTCTACATATAAAAGGCGCTATCCGCCCAATATATGGGGGCATTTGCCAGACTAAGCCTAGAGGGGAGAAGGGGGCAAAGATCCCAGGGAAAACGACAAAACGTTGTTCACGGCAACAGTCGGAGTTCCTCCTGCCCCCGCCCACACTTTAGTACCGTTTTGACGAAAAGAGCATGTTTCACGCGGCTTCAAATGCACTGTCACCACAATGCCCCCATATCTTGCGATAGTGCCCCATAAACCAAATTGCGCTACATTTCCTGCGTCCACCCGCCTCTGAAACCATTCTTTCAGTCAAATCGGCAAACTGCCAAGGTTTGAACGAGGTCGAATTTCTATGAAACCAAATAAGTGACCATCTACGTAGGATGCGGATGTTTCGAGGTTTCTCATTTCAATGTGTACCTTTCATTTACCACAGGAGACCAAGGATGAGCCCTCAGGGCGAAAAAAGTTTCTCTGAGTAGCTTTATTTATCTGCGGAGGGTTCACATACAACAGAGAAAAGCACTAGCGGGCACTAGGTGAAGTGAAAAGGGATGAGGTGCTTGAAAAGGAAATAATCGCGGAAATTTCTGGGACACAAAAAGATTGAGCTGAATTTAAGCTTAACTTAAAGATCAGGTAGAGAATAGGTACTATCAGTCTCAGAGATACAGTACTTTGGAAGAAATGCGATCATATGGCGCAAGCCTACTTCTTCATTTGCAGCTTCCTTATAGTCGTTCAATGAGGAAGGTTGCCTGACCAGTAATTCACAACTTATCAAAGTCATCTGATAAACCCCTTTTTGAAGCCCAGAATTTGATCGCAGGTTATTTTTCCCCGCATACAGATTCTAAATTTTTCGCAGAGCTCTTACGTCTTCTGCAGTGCAGCGAAGAGTCCTGGTGATTGCGTAGGTACAGCCGCACCCAAGCCGAGCAGTGCTGCTGTGGCGGTGTTGTTCAACTGCGACAGATTGGGATACTGCGACATTTGCGTGTAGTAGTCCTGCATTGCCGACAACACCGATGGCTGCATCCACATGCTCTGCAAAGAACAAGCATTACCCTGGTTAACTATACAACTCATTATGTCATTCTTCAAAAATTCATGGCAACATTCTTTAACATTTGCTGTAACTGGATTACTATTAGGTACCGGATATCTCAGTGTCGTTTTTTCACCACGAGTTTCGGACCACCAATATTTTAATTCAGAATCCGGGGAGTGAAACTGACGACGACGTCAAGAAGATCAGCATGGACCAGGGAATGATCTACGATCGCGCGCCAAAATTGGATATAGAGGATCGATGGAGCGTC